TTACCATTTAAGTTTAATTTAGTATTATTTTGGATTTTTTTTTTTTTTAGTTTTAATTTTTTAATAAATATTTTCATTGCAAATTAATTTCAGTTAGCTGTCAAGGCAACATTTAAAATATTTCAAGTTAAAGTTTTTCATCTAATATTTCTATTTTATTTTATTTCAGCTTTATTTCAATTAACCAAACGGTTAATGAATATAACCCTGTATCAGAGAAGCTGCTTCTGTGACTGACTTGCTATTTCTACTTTTATCTCTGCAGTTGTTGAAGACATTAATAAGCGAAGAGAGCCTCTCCCTTCATTGGAGGCCATTTACCTGATCACCCCAACTGAGAAGGTACTCAAACACACTGATTTTAGAAGTTGCTAAAAAGATGCTAAAATAACACCTCCAGCATAGACTTTTGTCTCGAAGTGTGGAGACAGAACCTTCACAATGTACACACTAATCATATGTCATTCACACACACACACACAGTATTTACACAGCCTACACAGACAGCCTGAAACTCTTGCCATTTCTACAGGCTATTTTGGTTACTATAACAACACAAAACACAAAGATAGTCTTATCTAAAGCTTGTTGTATTTCTCTTACCAGTCTGTGCAGACTCTCGTCGGTGACTTCAAAGATCCCCATTCAGCGAAATATAAAGCGGCTCATGTGTTCTTCACTGACTGTGAGTATCTGAGGGTACTCCACTGTACTTCAAGTGCTATGGAAGCATAATACACACTGCAGTATTAATGGGACCTCACTCAAAACTAGACTTCTACACAAGCAATCAGCAAGACAATGTTTTTAAAGGGGTGGTTCACTGGGTTTTTACTAGGCTTGATTGTGTTTATGAGGTGCAGTCTAACATGTGTTAACGCTTCGTTTTTTAAAAAACGCATTATTTTTCACATAATTTACCTTTATTCCACACCTCTCTGTCCCTTCTCTGAGAAACGGGCTCATTTCCTTCTTTTATGAAGTCCCTCCCTCAGAAATAGGCGATGGGCTCTGATTGGTTAGCTAGCCCAGTG